GCACTGTTGTTAATCTACGAAAGATTTATTCTAAAATTATTTTTTTACAAAATATTTTAATTATAAATTACCTGATTTGAAACACCAATCAGCGCATAGTGACGTCTCTCCATAAGTTATTTATAAATCATAATCATCTCTGTGGTTCATGATTAATGCACATTTGACATATCTACACAGAAAATGCTATCAATGTAGAATTTAATAACTGTCTCAGGGTTTTCTCTATCATCACCAACTCCTATCAACTTCCCGTTGGGGTGGTAAATACCCCCTGGTCTCCTGCTGAAAGTAAGGGAGTTTGGTCGCGGTGGGTGGCTGAAATGTGAAAAAATATATATATCTGTCTTTTTCTAACTTATGAGACCTTTTGGAAAGTTCTAAAAATTTCTGAAATGATCCAGAAAACTCCAGAATGTGTGCAATTGTTACAATCGATCTAGAAGGTTCTAAAAATTTCTGGAATGTGTAAAAAAAGCATAACTTTTCGTTGTACTGAGGTGTTTCTTATTTTAACTTATAATTATTTCAATTAGTTAATTAATTGGTTATACTTTCTATACACCGCATGTTTAATGGTCGACTAAGGGCCGATTTCCTGGGCGATGATCAAAGTTAACAAATTGGTTCTACTCAATTTAGCGTATCACGTGCCCCTATTTTGAATAATAGCGGAACGTGATTGGCTCTAATCAGTTTATCCAAATTGTTAACGTTGATCAGCGCCCAGGAAACCGGGGGTAAGTATCTCAATATCTAAGATAAAAATCTATATTATCTACGTTAAAAAGTGGATCCTTAAACATTTTATATACCATTAAACATGCGATGTATTTTAACCCGAGCAACGCCGGGTTACGCTGCTAGTCAAATATACAAATTGAAAAATCAAATCATTTTTCTCAAATAATTTATTACTGCATTTGTTATTTAAAATAAAATTTGATAAAAACAAGATCTAAATGATTATTGAATTAAGGGGGGTTGTAGATTAACTAATGCACTGTTGTTATTAGTTATTTACAGGGTAGTCCGTTAAGCGCGCCTTGCTCTCTAGGGGTCTTGTCATTGAAATTGGAAGAGAATGTTTCGACTAAAAAATGTCCCTGGTCAAATGATACCGGAAGTATACATTAGCTGCCTTTTTTTAAATGGAACACCCTGCATGTTATTCATCATCGATTTTAATGCCCAGTTTACTAAGCATAGTTTTTTTGGAGTTATTTAGTAATTTCTAGAAAATTTGACGTTTATAGTACCTTACAAAAATTTTAATATCTCGGAAATTATACTCGATAAAAAGATGCGACTGTCGCCGTTGAAAAAAGCATGAAACGTTCTTAGGTTTCCTTAAAAATTTATTTCAATGCACATTAAATCATTACACTAGTACTGTTCAAATTTTAATTGTTTCAATAACTCATTTTTTTCAAATGGCAAGCTATGTTTATTTTGACATCACTGAATGCAACTTAAATTCTCTTTCTATTTTGTTAAGACATATTAGAGTCTACGCTTGACGGAATTTAAAATAATTGCAATTTGTTAATTATTTTGTTAAACGCGAACGGTAAATTGAGAAATCTGACTTCCTAGTTACCTCGGTCACTTCTTTTAATTTTTCGTCTCCTATCTTTAATATTCGCTGTCTCCCTACTTATCCTTCCCTTTCATACCAGTTTTTTTGTTTTATTTTTATTTATTTTCATACAGTACTATTTTGTCAATACCGCTTCCATTTTATTTAAAGCTATCTTTAAGTACTCCTTGCTAGATGCCAATACTGCTATATCATCTGCAAATCTAAGCATACTAATATTTTGCCCTGTATAATTATCCCTACAGTTGTACTGTCCATAATGATGTTGATCGCGTCTTCGATGTATATATTAAAATTAAAAAGTAGCGGTGATAGTGTGCATCCCTGTCTGATGCCCGTTTTCACCGACGTAAATAAGTACTACTTAGCTTTAAGTAGTTCTTAAAAGACGGAATTGGTTTGCACCGCAAGTTAAGTCGCGCTTAAGAATCGAAACAGATGCTTAACTTTAAGCACAGGATGTTCCTGACTTAAGCATTGCTTAAGCCTGTCGTAACAATTTCGGCAGTAGTTCGGCATTTTTCGCCGTAAGAAAATAACATCGTTATAGTAAAGAGGTTATTATCATGTTACTATTAAATAATAAAATAAACAATATAATAATTATTAAATTAAATTATCATTAAATGGAAGTTGGTGTGTGTTATCATTTATGTTATTGTATTGCAATGTACGGATTATTTACATTCCAAGAGTAGTAATTAGTATCTGATGATATATTAGAAATTTGAAAATGTACACAATTTAACTGGAGTAGTGATAAGAACGCCAATAGCTAATCATTAGTAATAGAAGGTGAACTAATAATATACAA